CACCCAGAACGTGTTTAAGAACCACACCGTCCCACCCCCGCATGAGTAATCACGGAAGATTCCCCTACAGGGAGTTTCCCCAGCGTCAGTCAGTGCCGTCTCACGTTTGAGCAGCCGCTCTGACCTGCTGTCAGAGTGCACTTTCACTTTGCCATTAACTCTCTTGCTTACTTTTACGTTGGACTCACTCTCAAATTCTTTTGCCTAGCGAAGTCAAGAACCTGAACTGGCCCACCAGCCTACAAAGCCAGAGCGTGCCCACCACTGCTGTTCTTGCAAGAGATGTGTTTGCAAAACGGGTCACCACAGCCTGAGGGTGAGCAGTGGTGTAGGGGATAAGAATCTGAGTCTTCCGTGCTCTTTCCTATGTGGACAGCTCCGTCTTCAGCCCACGGTCTGATTCTCTGTGGATTTCAGTTTATCTCCTATGTCCGGGGGCAGCGGACTGAATGCAGTGAATTCTTACCTCCAATAATTGTCATCCTGCCGACCTTCCTGTGCCTTGAGGGTTGTCTGTTTTCACTTTCACTCAGTTGTTTGGCTACTGAATCCACTCCATATGCAACAGACAAGACAGAGATCAAGAGATGGAAAAGTGAGAAGTCCACGTGGGAGCAGAGGCTGCCATGGGAAAGGGTGAAGGCTGTTTTTAGGGGTCCCCTTATTCCTTTGGATGAATCTCTTCTTCAGCTACCGATTTAGGCGACTGCCGATGATACCTGGAAAGGAGGCCTGGAGTTCTCTCTGGGAGGCCCCTCTCATCAAGCCGGAAATTGCTAACAGACTTTCACTTATTTACTTGGGGTCTGAAGGGAATAAACAGCTCACCTGGGACCAACAGGGCAAATGGAACCTACACAAACCAATTGCTTACAGCAGGCAGAGTGTGATGTATTTACAGTCACAGACTGAAGATTTTCCAGTTCTCACCTGTACAGCTAAGGAAAGGTGCACGGCCGCCTGTTGAAGCCAAACGTCATTAACATTCCTGCAGAGTTAGGATTTTTAAGAATACTTTGCTGTTTTTTTGTTTGTTTGTTTTTGTTTTTGTTTTTGTTTTTGTTTGAGACAGAGCTTGCTCTTTCACCCAGGCTGGAGAGTACAATGGCGTGATCTCAGCTCACTGCAAACTCTGCCCCCCGGGTTCAAGCGATTCTCCTGCCTCAGCCTCCTGAGTAGCTGGGATTACAGGCATGCATCACCACACCCAGCTAATTTTTGTACTTTTAGTAGAGATGGGTTTTCAGTATGTTGGCCAGGATAGTTTCAATCTCTTGACCTTGTGATCTGCCCGCCTCAGCCTCCCAAAGTGCTGGGATTACAGGTGTGAGCCACTGCTCCCAGCCTTTTTATTTATTTATTTATTTATTTATTTATTTATTTATTTAAGACGGAGTCTCACTCTGTCGCCCGGCTGGAGTGCAGTGGCACGATCTTGGTGCACTGCAACCTCCACCTTCCAGGTTCAAGCGATTCTCCTGCCTCAGCCTCCTGAGTAGCTGGGATTACAGGCACATGCCACCACACCCAGCTATTTTTGTATTTTTAGTAGAGACAGGGTTTCACTGTATTGGCCAGGCTGGTCTCAAACTCCTTACCTCGTGATCCTTCCGCCTCGGCCTCCCAAAGTGCTGGGATTACAGACATGAGCCACTGCGCCTGGCCAAACAAGCTACTTTTTAAGAAACCGTTTCGGGGAAGAGGGAGAACTGCTCCAGGTTCCTCCCCGTGGGTTACTATGAATACACTGCAGAACATCTTGATCCAATGAACAGCCGTTCCTGTGTGGTCCTTTGTGCCTCTCCTGTTTTAATTTTGTTTCAAAAATCTTGAGTGTGTGAGGGCCTTGGAACTGATTTTTGTTGTTGTTCCAGTGAAATTAGCACTGTAAACATAGCACCTGCATGAGAGAAGAGCAGCGTCTCAGTGGCCTGATATTAATACTTTGGGCAGCTCAATGCTGATGGTGGTGTGGGGGACCAGGGGGCTGCCAACCTAGCCCTTGGGCACCCCTGGGAAGGCGCAGGGATCACAAGGCGGCCAGCCCCGGCAGGGTAGACTGTGTGGGCCGCGGTGCAGGCAACACTCATGCCGGGAATGGTCAGGATGGCACCAGCTTGTTGGATTTTTTTGTTGGCATTTGTGTTTGTTTCTCACCACCCAAGTGATAAAATAGGATCCTTGGTGCAGAACTTAAATTATCCCAGAAAGCCAAGAGTTCCCCGCCTTGGGGACTTGTCTTAAACTCACCTGGTTTGTACGTTTCTGGCCGGACGCATGAAGAAGCAATCTGTGACAAGTCTGAGGGTCTTCCTTTCAGCCTGCCTCCCACGCTAAGAAAAGTTGGTGTTTCCCTCCCGGAAGCTGTTGTGAATTTCTCTTTATCTGGGAACTGTTTTGGTTTTGTTTTTAGTTGCTCTGTGCTCCCTCTGAATCAAAGCTTCTAGCACTGCCGGTGAAAACCACAAAGGGTCCTGCTTGAGGCGCCATCCTGGCCAAGAGAGCAAACCTGCAGGAGGTTTGGAAATGGACTCGGTCTCTGCAGAAGCGTGTGCACTATTAGGGGATGAACCGTGTCACAGCCAGGGGGACAAAGCTCATATCGTAGGCGATCCAGGAGACGTGAGTTCCCAGAGCTTGTTTGGCGCATTCATGTGCACACTGTTGTCGGGGTTGGACTTGTGTTTCAGGCTTCGATGTGAGGCTTGTGATATGCATTTCCTGTTTATCAATAAAAAAATTATCGAAATGGTTGAATCCTGTGAGTTGGCAAATGTGTACTAATCCAGTGCACTTGACTCTTCAACCCCTTCTTTCAATATCATTTTTATAAGAAATAGGTAACCTACATGACAACTCTTAAAAATAAAATAAAAATTGGGCGAGGTCCTAAGTAGGAAAACCAAATGAAAAAGCAGAAACAGGACACCTGGAAATCTGAGGCTTTGCTGTGCTTTTGCGTATTTCCCAATTGTCCCAACAGTGAGCTGTCTTTTTTGTGTTTTTGTTTGCTTGCTTGCTCGTTTGATAGCCAGGTCAAAATAAGGTAAACAAATATGAAAATAAGTAAATAAATAATAAACTAAAGGCAACATAAAGCCATAAAGATAAGGTTGGGCTCACAAGCGCCATCCTCCCCAGGCCCCACCCGTGCCGGTCGGAGTTCACCCTGGAGAGGAAAGGCTGCCCCGAGGGCTGGGAGATGAGACCCGCAGCCTCTGTGCCAGGAGACACAGGTCTGGGAGGGAGCAGAGCTGCATCTCTGGAGGGACCCCTCTTCCTGGAGGACCCCAGTAGCTCACGGACCTTTCCAGACCCAGATGGAGGCTGCGGAGGGGGCTCTTCCTGGTGGGTAAGAGAAGCTGGATGCTGGATGAGCTTCCCAGGGCTGAGGGAAGGGCAACTGGAAGCAAAGGAGGGGAGGAGGCTGGGGCCATCCCCATCCAGGGGCACAGCCGGAAACTCCCAGAGCAAGGGTTGGGGAGAGGGGAGGAGGCAGGACCCTCTGCAGGTCTTTCATGAGGTCACACACCTGGAAATGTCTTACCCCTAGACACAGCCCTGCACAGCCCCACAGATGTGGTGTTACACTCACTCAGACATACACACACACGCACACACACATGCACACACACCATGCATTTCTATCCACGTCCAGGTGCCAGGACCTTGTACCTCCACCCTGAGGTTCCCGTACTGACTTTCCCGTGGGTGTGAATATTGGCCTCTGTCATGTTCTTGCTGTGTGATTTTGGGCAAGTAACTTCACCTCTCTGCACCTCCGAATTTCTTCATCTGCAAATGGGGTTAAAGTATGTGTCTTGCTTGGCTGCTGGGAGGGTTAAAGGTAACCTGTCATAGTGCCTGGCATATAGTCGGTGTGAAGTAAATTACTACTATCATCCACATTGTTATACCATCCCCTGGTAGTTAGTCCAGCAGTGCCAACTCCTTCCTCAGCTTCACCTGGCGGCCTCTTTCCCCCACACAATGGCATCTTCTTATAGCGCCCTCGGAAATCTTTAAAAGTATGGAGATGTTGAGGACTCTTGGTGCAGAGGTGAAGCCCCCAGACCATCTCCTCCACCTCCTAGGGTCCCACGTGGGGAGGGATTGGGCTTGGACTTGGTGGGAAGTTGGGCATCTTCACCTCCCTCTACCCAGGACTCTCCCGTGTTTCTTATGGACCTGAGATGTGACTTCTTCCCTGATTTCTCCCCATAGGGCACATCAGCCTCCATCACTGTCCACCCCAGACCTAAGGACAAGACCAGAAGGGCAAGCAGGTGAGGAGAAGGTGATGGAGAAGGGCTGGGGGTCTCCATAGGACCTGTGAGGCTGGAAAGGGTCCAGGGTCTTTCTGGAAAGGACTGGCAAGAGAGGGACCCAGCCCAGTCACACCAAGGTCTGGAGATGGGGGCTCCTGGGGGAGGTCTGCAGACCCAATCGGGGCCCTGGGGATGAAATCATGGGCAGCATGGTCATTGGAGGCTCTATCCACTGATCAGAGCTATGCAGGCTGGGGCAGGCCATGCGCAGAGCTGGGCTGTAATTTCAGGCGCCTCCTTTCTCAGAGAGCTCTGGCATGTCCAGGTTCTCAGATTCCTTCACCAGAGGCCATGGAGTCAACAGAGATGCTGCGAACTTATGGCTAAGGGGTGCCCAACCAGTGGTTGCTTTACTCAGTGCCAGGTGAGAGAAGATACCTCAGAATCAGGCAGGGATTAAATTCCAGCCCTGCCCTGAGAACCTGAGTGACCTGAACGCAGCCCCAGTGAGGCTCCCTCACCTGGATGCACCATGGAACCATCAAGTGAGCATGATTAGCATATGCGTCAGCTCAAATATTTATCTTTTTTTTGTGTGTGTGACAACATTTAAACTTCTCTCTTTTAGTTATTTTGAATTATTCAATACATGACTCTATGTCATTTGAAACAACACAGATGAACTTAGAGGATGTTATGTTGAGTGAAATGAGCCAGGCACAGAGAAACAAACACGTTACGATCTCATTATATTTGGAATCTAAAATAGACATCCTCAGAGAAGTAGAGAGGAGAATCATGGGTACCAGAGGCTGGGGCGGGGAGTGTGGACTGATTGGACGGGGAAAGGCAGGCATGCATTTTCAGTTAGACAGGAGGAATAAGCTCTGATGTCCTATTGCACAGCTTCGAGGGCTGTTAATTCTACAGGAATCGGCCTCGGACTCCTTTACTGGAGGGGTTGTGAACCCTCAAACAAGCCCAAGTCTCTGCAGTTTCTCACTTGGGGATCTTGATCTCTGAATACTCATTGTTGGTGGCCTCTTGTCCCCACAGGTCCTGAGGCCCCACCTTATGGAAGCTGAGGGATGCATACTGGATCTCTCCTTCCTCCCCTGAGGAGGGAGCAGCCAGTCCATGGTGTCGGGGGCTGTCATCTGCCCAGGACTCAATCAAGGTACCCTGAATGGAGAGAGAGAAGGGAGTCAGAGCAGAGCAGTGGAAATAGGATAAGGCAGGGAGAGTCACAAGTTGTTTGATTGGTTGGTTGGTTTGGACATATTGCTCTGTATAGAATTAAACTTCATGAGTTCCTGCCTCTATCCCATGTTCATATTATAGAAATCTCCTTCATTTATACTTTCCTGCAATATTTAACCCTTAATGAGCACCTCGTTTGGTGTTTATTAATCTTATTAACTTCCCACAACAATCCCATGAAGAAAGTAGCGTGCCCAAACTCCCTGTTATGCCAGGACCCAATCCAGTCCATCCCTTCTGACCCCAAAGCCTGCAGTCCTGCTGAGGCCCTCTGTATGTGAGGCCCTGAGCCAGGTGCTGGATGGACTGTGGTGGACATAGTAGTGTTGGCCCTGACCTCCTGAAGCTCACTTTTTAATTGAGGGAAGTTGGCAAAATGACTGTCAAACAAATGAATATCTATGTGTGAATTATAAGATGCACAGGAAGAGGGTAAGTGAGAGAGAATCACAGGGCCTTGATTTGGATGGGGCCCCTGCCCTTAGGAAGCTCACAGTTTGGTGGTGTGGGGAGGATAAGTCAGTCAAAGAAATTATCAATGATAGAATGGATAAAGAAAATATGGTACATATACACCATGGAATACTGTGCAGCCATAAAAAAGAATGAGATTATGTCTTTTGTGGGAACATGGATGGTGCTGGAGGCCATTATCCTTAGCAAATGAACACAGGAACAGAAAACCAAATACTGCATGTTCTCACTTATAACTGAGAGCTAAATTATGATAACTCATGAACACAAAGAAGAGAACAACAGACACTGGGGCCTACTTGAGGGTGGAGGGTGGGAGGAGAGAGAGGAACAGAAAAAAATAACTATGGGGTACTAGGCTTAGTACCTGAGTGACAAAATAATCTGTACAACAAACCCCTGTAACAAGAGTTTATGTATGTAACAAACCTGCACATGTACCCCCAAACCCAAAATAAAAGTTTTATAAAAAACTGTCACAATTACTGAGATTTTTGGCAACTTCTTAAATTGTGTACGCTAGGCCAGAACCTCACTCATCTCACGCTAATTCCAGCCCTACTGGAGAGGTAGATGTTTAAGAGATGAGAATGTGCAGGGCTGCAGTTATGAAGTTTGGGCTTTTTCTCTAGGTTAGAGCTTGTCAAACTAGAGCCCTTAGGACAAATTCAATCCACTGCTTGTTTTTATAAATAAAGTTTTATTGGCACACAGCCAGCTAACCACTTACACATGGTCTATGGCTAATTTCCTGCTATAAGAGTAGAGTTGAGGAGCTGCAATGAGACTGTGTAGCCCAAAAAGCCAAAAATATTTCCTATCTGGCCTTTCCAGATAGTGTTTTCTGGCTTCTGCTCTAGACAGTGTTGGAAGTGGGAACAGCCATCCAAATGCAAAGAAACTGGTCAGTGATGGCTTCTGAACAATTCCTCCCATCAGGGCAAGAGACACAATAGGCAGGGAGGTGAGGAAGTCCAAGACAGAGATCCTCAGTCCTCAGCATTGAGAGGGTTTAGGATTCTTGGGGGTGGGAGCAATGCTAGCCATTCTTAGGGAGGAAGAATGCACAAGATTTGGTGAAAGTGGGGCCATAGAGAAGAAAGGGAGGACAGAGAGGAGAAAACTCTTTCTCCATGCCTGGCCTGAGAGAAAGTAGGTAGGAGGGACTGTCATGCAGTTAGCAAGATGGGGAATCCTGCAGGGTCCTTTTATGTATGTTTGCTTTTCTTTGCTTCCCAAGGTTGCTAAATCTCTAGCCAGCATCTACCTTTTTCGGGGGGAAGGGGTGGAGGTGAGGTGAGGTGGGGACAGAGTCTCACTCTGTCACCCAAGCTTGAGTGCAGTGGCATGATCTTGGCTCACTGCAGCCTCAACCTTCTGTGTTCAAGCGATTCTTCTGCCTCAGCCCTCCTAGTAGCTGGGACTACAGGCACCCACCACCATGCCTGGCTAATTTTTGTGTTTTTAGTAGAGATGGAGTTTCACCAGGTTGGTCAGGCTGGTCCCAAATTCCTGACCTCAAGTGATCCGCCCACCTTGGCCTCCCGAAGTGCTGGGATTACAGGCATGAGCCAATGCGCCTGGCCAGTGTCTGCCTTTTTGATGGTTAAGTATGTTGCTTAGTTACTTTGACCAATCCCATAATTTTAAGTACATGGATAATATGCAGTCCATATGCATGAGCTTTAATGAGCTGATTATCATACAGGGTCAGGTTAAGGATACTTTTTCTCTCTAATGCACATGTCTAGTTCTGAAGAACTGCCCCTTGCTGGTTTGGTCCAGATCCTGCTGGCCACGGGGGTCCTTGCTTGCTTCTCTATCTTACTTTTTTTTTTTTTTTTTTTGAGACGGAGTCTCGCTCTGTCGCCCAGGCTGGAGTGCAGTGGCGCGATCTCGGCTCACTGCAAGCTCCGCCTCCCAGGTTCAAGCAATTCTCCTGCCTCAGCCTCCCAAGTAGCAGGGACTACAGGCATACACCACCTCACCTGGCTAATTTTTGTATTTTTAGTAGAGATGGGGTTTCACCATGTTGGCCAGGCTGGTCTTGAACTCCTGACCCGAAGAGATTCACCTGCCTCAGCCTCCCAAAGTGTTGGGATGACAGACGTGAGCCACCACACCCAGCTCGCATATGATTTTTTTTTTTTAATTTTTTGAGATGGAATCTTGCTCTGTCACCCAGGCTAGAGTGTGGTGGCACGATCTCGGCTCACTGCAAGCTCTGACTCCCGGGTTCACGCCATTCTCCTGCCTCAGCCTTCAGAGTAGCTGGGACTACAGGCACCCGCCACCACACCCGGCTAATTTTTGTATATTTAGTAAAGACGGGGTTTCACCGTGTTAGCCAGGATGGTCTCGATCTCCTGACCTTGTGATCCGCCCACCTCGGCCTCCCAAAGTGCTGGGATTACAGGCGTGAGCCACCGCGCCCGGCCGTGATTTTAAAAAAATTGTTCCTTTGTACTTTACAGTTTTTTGATGCTGCCGTAAATGGGCAAGAGTCCAGATTTAGGGAAGTGTTAGTGCCTCCTCCAGTCCTTTGATTCCTTCTCATCAGGGCTACTGTTGTGAGACGTTCCTTTCCTCGTTCGGGTGCTGCACGTAGGTGAATTTTTTTGGATCATGTTTAATTTGCCAGATGATCCTTTGACTCTTTGGAAACGTTTCTCATTCCCTGGGTCTGGCTTTAGAGGAGGGAGATCATGAGCTGCTGCTTCACTGTCTCCCTCAGCTCAACCCCGAAGTCCAATCCTTGAACTCCATTTTCAAAGACGGAGGCAGATGAAGGCCCAGGAGGAGGGCATTCTAGGAGGAGGGTCCCCAGTGTTCAAGGACTGAGGTATGAACCAACAGGACATGTTGCAAATGATTTGGAAAAGGCCAGAGGGACCAGTGGGTTCAGTGGTGAGGATGGAGGAGTGGACTGAGGTTGGAGAGTGATGTCATGAAGAGGATGTGATCGGAGGTTCAGGATCCAGGAGCCATGGATGGGCTGTGCGCAGTGCAGAGAGAGCTCAGTGTGTCCTAAAGACTCCCACTGGACTGTGCACAATACGTAGACTACAGAGAGCAAGGAGGCCTAGCAGTCACAAGGAGGGGAGATGAGGCCGAAGAGGTGGGCAGGATCCAGATGCTACCCAGACCTGATTTGCAGGCTGAGGTCCTTTCCTGGAAAATTGCAGAATCACTATTTTGCAGGCAAGTGACACAGACATATAGGTACCAGTTGCCACCAGAATCAGGAGAGGTTCTCAGCAGGACCTTTGTGTTCAAAGCACAGCGATTCATCAATGCTCAGCATACACCTGTGCCAGGAGCTCTGATGGGATGTGGCTCCTGGAATGATCACCACAACCTTGCAAGTAGGGCTTCTCACTCCTGTTTTCCAGAGCAGGAAACCAAGGTACAGAGAGGTAGGAATTTGTCTGTCTTTTAGTCAAAAAAATAAAAAGGACGGCACAGTGTGGATTCAGGTTGGCGATACTTTGACTCCAAAGCCTGTGTGCTTTTCACTACGTGCCTAGCTCATCACTTTGAGGGCTGTTAATTCTACAAGAACCAGCTTCTGACTTCTCCCTTGCCTGGAGGGGCTGTGATCGCTCAATCAGGCTGAGTCTCTGCAGTTTCTCATTTGTGGATCTTGATCTCCGAGTACTCGGTGTTAGTGGCCTCCTGTCCCTGCAAGTCCCGAGGCTTCACCGTCTGGAAGCTGAGGGATGCATACTGGAGCTCTTCTTCCCCCACTGAGGAGCGGGCAGAAGCTGGGGGAGGCTGGTCTGGGGGACTGTCTTCTGCCCAGGGTTCAGTCAGGGACCCCTGAGACATGGGAGAGAGAAGGGAGTCAGAGCAGAACAGAGAGGCTGGGCGCAGTGACTCACGCCTGTAATCCCAGCACTTTACGAGGCTGAGGCGGGCGGATCGCTTGAGGTCAGGAGTTCAAGAGCAGCCTGGCCAACTTGGTGAAACCCTGTCTCTACTAAAAATACAAAATTAGCCAAGTGTGGTGGTGGACACCTGTAATCTCAGCTACTCAGGAGACTGAGGCAGGCGAATCGCTTGAACCTAGGAGGTGGAGGTTGCAGTGAGCCAAGATTGTGCCACTGCACTACAGCCTGGGTGACAGAGCGAGACTCCATCTCAAAAAAACAAAAACAAACAAACAAAAAAATGCACTTGAGGCAAGAGCCTCACTCACTTCACCCTTGTTCTTGCCCTAGTGGAGAGGTAGGTGCTTAAAAGGTCAGAATGTGGCCAGGCACGGTGGCTCACGCCTGTAATCCCAGCACTTGAGGAGGCTGAGGCGGGCGGACTACAAGGTCAGGAGATCGACACCATCCTGGCTAACACGGTGAAACCCTGTCTTTACTATAAATACCAAAAAATTAGCCAGACGTGGCGGTGGGCGCCTGTAGTCCCAGCCACTCCGGAGGCTAAGGCAGGAGAATGGCTTGAACCTGGGAGGCAGAGCTTGCAGTGAGCAGAGATCGCGCCACCGCACTCCAGCCTGGGCGACAGAGCAAGACTCCAACTCAAAAAAAAAAAAAAAAAAAAAGGTCAAAATGTGCACTGCTGCAGGCTATAGAGTTTGGGATTTTTACTCTAGATCAGGGGTTGTCAAACTACAGTATTTGAGTTATATCCAGCCCACTCTTTATGTTTGTGAATAAAGTTTTATTGGCACACAGCCATATTCATTTCTTTACACAGGGTATATGGCTTCTTTCTCGCTACAACAGCAGATATGAGGAGCTGCAATGAGACTGTGTGGCCCATGAAGCCAAAAATAGTTTCTATCTGTCGCTTACAGATAATATTTGCTGGCTTCTGCTCTAGACGGTATCGAGGGGTCGGGGAACAGCTGTTCAAATGCAGAGGAACTGGACGATGATGCCTTCTGGACAGTCCCCCCAGTCAGGAAAGGAGAGGTGACAGGCAGGGAAGTGAGGGAGCAAAAGACAGAGATCCTCAGGCCTCAGCAATGAAGGGTCAGGATGGGGGTAGGGACAATGCAAGCTGTTCTTAGGGGAGGAAACCAACCAAACATTGTGAATTTGGGGCTACAGAGAAGAAAGGAAGAACAGAGAGGAGGTAACTTTGGCTGTGCCCAGCTGATTAGTCCTGGGGGTCATCCTGTGGGAGGTGTCCAGGCTGGATGCTGGCTGTGGAGAGTCCACAGCACTCACCTGAGAGGCTGAGCCCCTGACGGCGTTTGCATCCTCTATGCCCACATCCCCCACGCCCGCGACTGGCCTTGCTGATTTCTTCCTGCAGGACCTCACTCTGAGTGAAGAGACCAGACAGCCTTTCAGTGTGGTCAGATCGGGGTGCAGTGGGCAGACCAGGTACCCCCCATGTGTTTCCTATTAAGAGACTGCAGGGGTGACTGAGGTGGGAAAGCAGTGGTCCAGTCTTAGAGACCCCAAGGTTGAGAATAGAGACTCTCTTCTCCTGGACAGTGGGTACCAAGGTTTGCCACAGACTCAAAGCTCCTCAAACACAGGCCCACATGGAATTCTCACCATGCACCTGTGACCTCCTTCTTGCCCCGAGCTCTTGACCCATCCGGGTCCCTCCAGCTCTGGCTTCAGGGATCCAGCTCCCAGCCCGCCCTCCCCCAGGGCTCTCCCTCCCTTCCTAAGGTCCACGCTCACACGACGAAGATGACGCAGAAGGACAGGAAGACCAGGGCTGTGGCTCCAGCTCCGACCGCCCCCTGAGTCAGTCCCGATGTGGCTTTACCTGTTGACAGATTGGAGTTATTTTTGTGATATATCACAGAGAATTGGGTCTCTTCTCCTCCTCCTCCCACTTCCTGTAGGGTCCTATACGTCTATTTCCACTTCCCCTTCCCAGACACAAAGAACAGAAATGAGAGAGAGGAGGACATGGAGAGACTCTTCCTGAGGCCAGTGAGGCATGCAAGTGCCAGCCATTCCTTTTTTTTTTTCTTTACGATGTTAATATTTTATCCATCAATGAATTTGTTTTGTATTCAATTTGTACTGTTTTTAAAAGATGATTGCATTGCTGTATGATTTCATTTGATTGCTAACTTGTTGGGCTTTTTCTTTTTTTTTTTAATCTGATGCTCAAGGCAAGTACCTCCGTTGTGTGACTCCAGTTCAGCCCTGCAAAGAAAGGCGCTTGTCTCCCTAAACACACCTGTCCAGGCCCCATCCTCTCCCCTCTGAGATCCACACCTGCCCCCTCCCCACCCCACAACCCTTCCCTGACAGGAAGAGGACGGTGGTGCTGTGGGTCCCAGGAAAGTGCTCACAGCTGAGCACAGACCAGAGCGGGGCTCCTCTCTGAAGGTCAGGGGGCCGCTCAGTGGTCACTGAGGGTGGAGAAGGGGTGTTCTCCTCCTCCAGCCCCTCCCCAGCACACCGGTGCACTCACTCTGCAGGGAGACGTTCAGGGAGACCTGCTGAGAGCCCAGAAGGTTCTGAGCTCTGCAGGTGAATTCCTCTTCCTCCCTCAGGTGCACCCGAGGCAGCTCCAGCACCCCCGGGTTTGAGGGCTGTGAAGGGCACAGGGTCAGGCCTCCCCAGCTCAGGCTCAGCCTGGCAGGCGGATTGCTGTCAACTGCACAGACCAGGCGCAGAGACGGGCCCTCTGGGACTGAAACAGATGAGCCATTTCCCAGGACTATGGATACTGTAGAAAAAGAGACAGAGGGTCAGAGAAGTACATAGATCTGGAGAAAAAGAAAGGATACAGAAAGGGACTGATGACAGCAACTGACACACAGACATAGACTGAAGTTCCAGACACATGCACTTCCACCACTCACTGTCAGGAATGTGAACACATAACGTAGCTACATTTTGCTTTTAGGAACTTAACCCACAGACTTAGATATTCCTGTGGAAGTAGATACAAGATTGTTCATTGCCGTGTTCCTGCCATAGGATAAAATGAGTGCCATGATCTTCCATTAGGAGATGCCACAAAATCAGAGTCCATCCATACAGCGGAATCACACACAGCCCTAGAGGAGGGTGTGGACCGTCTCACTACGGACACCAAACCGCCTCTGATCCTCCAGGTGCACACACCAAGGCTCAGGGCAGCCTGGATGGACAGTGGCTGGTTCTGGGTAGGGGGCAGGCATCGGAGGACAGACTCTGCTCTGCAATTTGAATTTTTGCCCATGGGCATTTATCACCTGTCCAGAAGTACTTATATCAGAACTATCGGAAATAAACAGGTAAGGGTGGAGGTGTATTCAGGAGATGCATGAGAAGGAACCTCAGAGCCTGGCCCTGCTGTGTGAATGCCACCCTGTTCTTGTTTGAGGCCGAAGGGAGGTGTGTGTGTGGGGGGTCCAAGAGTGGTGATGGGAGGATGGGAACAGGCGGCCTTGGGGCCTAAGGACACAGAGGGGCCCTGAGTTCACCCACAAGGGCATCTCTGTTTCCCAAAGTGAGTTCAGGTTGAGGAATAACCCAGCCCCATCCTGACCTGAAGGCCCTGCACCTCCAGCCCCAGGGAGGGGGCTCCATCCTACCTGTGTCATTTCCTTGGAAGACAGTCATGGTCAAGTTCTGAGGGGGGTCTGGGACAGAAAGACATGGAGACCCGCATCACTGTGGGCTGGGAACACTGGCCCTGTCTGTCCCCAGGAGCCGCATAAACAGGGAAGACAGAGCCATTGTCCTCCTGACCCCACAACCAGCCCAGATTCCGGGACCCAGCACCCTGTGTCCAGGCTTGACCCCATCAGGGACCCAGGCGTCCTGGCCCAGCACTCACAGGACACGTTGAGGTGGATGGTCTTGTTCGTGGTCACACTGGCCCCAGGGAAGGTCACCTGACAGGTGAGGCTGGTGCCGTGGTCCTGGGGCTGTGGGATGAGGGTGAGCACCGAGGAGCGGGTGGTGGAGGGGTCCAGGGGAGACACGGAGGTCCCCATCCAGGAGATCATAGGGGCTGTCCCCTGCTCACAGGCCCAGGGCACAGAGCAGGTCAGATTCCGGGGGCAGCCGGACTCTAGGGTTCCTGGGATGAGGATGTTGGGCCTGTGTGTCAGGGCTGGTGAAGAGAGGGGGACTCAGGATCAGGACGGAGGATCCATGGTGCAGCCCTGGGGGGAACTCAGGCTCTGGTCCAGCTCCTGCCCTGAGCCCAACTCACTTCACCCTCAGCCCTCTCCCGGGGCAGGGGCCCCATCCCAGCCTTTCCCTGCCGCCCCCATGACCTTTCCCTGTGGCCTGTCCTGGAGCCCGTGCCTTACCTGTGACATGCACAGAGAGCGGGGCATACTTATAACTCCATTTTGTCTTTCCTGTCTCCACACGAAAGAAGTACTTCCCTGCATCACTGCTTCTGGCATCTCTGATGCTCAGGGTGCAATTCGTGGTCTGTGGGTCCCCAAGGAGGTGGAATCGGTCCCGAGTGTCCTCCCGCACTGCCCGAGCTGGGTTGTTTGTGGCCACTGGAGCATCCCGGTCTGTACGGGCCCCTGCCCGGAACCAGTAGCCATGAACTGGGTCAGAGGAAATCCAGCCATACCAGGGGTAGGAGAAGGAGCAAAGCACATGGACACACAGGCCCTGCTGCACCGTCACAGACTCCTGCATCGTCAGTGGGTAATTCTTCTGGTTATTCCTCTGTCCCTCCACCCTCTCCCTCCCCCAGAGCAGGGGCAGCAGCAGCAGCAGCAGCAGCAGCATGTCTGGGGTTGGAGGTGCCAGGGCTGCCAGGGAACGTCTGTTCCTCAGGGCTCTTCTCTCAGGAAGTGAGAGCTCAAGACTTAGAGGAGGCCCCACAGGAAGACAGGGGTGAGGTCAGAACAGTGACCTCCCCAGAGGAGGAACTTCACACCAGACACTGTCAGGCCTGGGTCAGCCCTGGGAGATCCACCGTCCACTACCCCATGTTCACTCCTGGGCCCCTGAGGCCAGAGCAGGAGACAGACTCGCCCAGATTCCCACCCCATGCAGGGCCCACCCCACTTCCTGCCTGACTCTCAATGCTCTTCCCCTTAGGTGACATTTTCTGCAGGGTGAAAATGAGTCCCATCTGGCCAGACCCCTGAGTCACAGGCTGTGGATGTCTGTGTAGCTCAGAGGTGGGACTCGGGGCCATGAGAGACAGGGGTGCAGGTGGGGTGAGCAGGCAGCCTCTCATTCCCCCTGCCAGCAGGTACGAGGTGGGCACCCCCTTTCTGCACAATGAGGTCAACACAGCAGAGCCGGACACTGTCCCCAAGGAGTCACTGTGCAGAGGAGACACTGAGGCTCCCGACTTCTGAGCTGTCCATAGCAGGAGCTTCAGTGGGGGGCACAGGCAGGATGGGGTCACTCTCCCCTAGGTCGGGGGTTCAGTCTCAGGGGGACCGAGCAGAGGGACACGGGGCTGTGGAGGTGAGGATTTCGCCTGTTGATACACGCCAAGGACACAGAGGGGGAAGCCTGGCTCGCAGGAGGTCTGGGAAACTGAGACTGTGATTGTTGTACTGTGGGGTTTGGAAGGGAGGAAATCCAGAAGGGAAGGGGCAGATTTCAAAAGGGAAGATACTTCTCCTTTCCTCACTGCTGTCTCAGCGCCACGAAGGATTTCTTCACCAGCGATGTCTCGCTCAGCCACACTTCCCTGGTTACTCCAGAACACGAGGGGTCTGCCGGCCCCGGGGCTTTGTTCCTGCAGGCTCTGCTCCCGGGGATCCAGGTGAACAGGAGATGTGGAGCGAGGACACCAGCCCTGGGGCGTCCACCCTCAGCGACGGGCAGGATTTCATGACAGAAGAAACGTGCCCCTCAATTCAACAGAAGATTTTTTGTAATTGTGTGGCTGGGCTGGGAGGAACTGGGAGTGTCCTGTGTGGTGGAGCCTCCTTAGACCGATGTCAGTTTTCTAGAAATAGTTTTGGGAGAAATATAAGCCATGTAGATAAAAATATCTTCCCCCCAAGAAAACAAATCTCAGTGGTTTACACACATGAACACGCTTAGAGAAACAGAACACTGGGGACACCGCAGCACCTCCCCTTTGTTACCCCACTTCCTGTCAGCCACACCCCCACTTTCTACGGAAGGAGCCCCAGCCTCACTTTAACGCTAATGGTCTCCAGGCTTTTCTTTCTTTTTTTTTTTTTTTTTTTTTTTTTGAGACGGAGTCTCACGCTGTTGCCCAGGCTGGAGTGCAGTGGCGCGATCTGGGCTCACTGCAAGCTCCGCCTCCCGGGTTCCCGCCATTCTCCTGCCTCAGCCTCCTGAGTAGCTGGGACTACAGGCGCCCGCCACCGCGCCCGGCTAATTTTTTGTATTTTTAGTAGAGACGGGGTTTCACTGTGGTCTCGATCTCCTGACCTTGTGATCCGCCCGTCTCGGCCTCCCAAAGTGCTGGGATTACAGGCTTGAGCCACCGCGCCCGGCTTTTTTTTTTTTTGAGACAGAGTCTGGCTCAGTCGCCCAGGCTGGAGTGCAGTGGCGCGATCTCGGTTCACTGCAAACTCCGCCTCCTGGGTTCACGCCATTCTCCTGCCTTGGCCTCCCGAGTAGCTGGGACTACAGGCGCCCGCCACCTCGCCCGGCTAGTTTTTTTGTATTTTCAGTAGAGACGGGGTTTCACTGTGTTAGCCAGGATGGTCTCGATCTCCTGACCTTGTGATCCGCCCATCTCGGCCTCCCAAAGTGCTGGGATTACAGGCGTGAGCCACCGCGCCCGGCCTGGTCTCCATGCTTTTCTATGTAGTTTTATCATCTGTGCATGTTGCCGGGAGTACTGCAGGCCCCCATGTTTGCCCAATCACTCCCTCCCAAGAGGGGAAGTTGCAGCATCTCAGTGGTCAGAAGGGCTGAGCCATGGCTGACAGTGATGTCCTGCATCTGTCCCGCAGGGCCGGGTGTCCACATCTGAGTTCTATCTTGAGCAGGAGGTGCTCAGTCAGGCCTCTCAGCCCTGCTCCCCTGAAGGCCTGCGCACCTGCAGAGCCAACACGGGCCTCAGATTAGCATCGGCCACTTCAATTCTAACTCAGGCAGGACAGGACAGCTCAGCCCCACCTGGAACTCGGGGGCCAATCCTTCAGCTTCCCTAGAGAAGAGCAGGCCTGCTCACCTGGAGTAGTAGCCCCAGGTGAGGCCATGGAGGTGGGAGAGGGAAGCCAGTGCCCATGAGGGCGCCTGATCAGGTGAGAACCAGGGGCCCGGAGGCCTTTTCACTCACACATTTGCAACCAGAGGGGCTTCCTGGGAAAGGGTAGAAGAGTATGAGATTCTGTTCCCAGGCCTCCACCCCTGTGACAGCCCAAACACGCAACCAGGCTGCCTGCCCCAGCACCCGTCCTGCAACTCACTCTACTCAGAGGCTCAGGGAAATGTGCTGAGATCGCAGTGGGTGATGAGCCCAACAGGTCAATTCTCCTCCATCCCCAGCCTCTATGTGAGGCAGCTCCAGGCCCCCGGGTGCTGAGAGCTGGGAGGAATTCGGTGTTCTTCCCTCTCAGGACCCGCTCAGCAGGGCAGGGTGGGGAGGCGGGCTGCTGTCAGCCACACAGACCACAGGGACTCTCTCTCCAGGACAGGCCGTGATGTGCCATTGTTCAGTGTCTTTGGGGCTGGATGAAAAAAACAGAGAAAGCAGGAAGGGTGGCCCTGAGAGGTCAGTTTATCCCTTACCTCCCATTCAGAATTAAACAGAAGACACACGACGGTTTGACTCACGCTCTTTTTGGTTTTTTTTGAGACCGAGTCTTGCTCTGTCACCCAGGCTGGAGTGCAGTAGCGCGATCTCGGCTCACTGCGATCTCTGCCTTCCAGGTTCAAGCAATTCTCCTGCCTCAGCCTCCTGAGTAGCAGGGATTACAGGCGCGTCCCACCATGCCAGGTTAACTTTTGTATTTTTAGTAGAGATGGGATTTCACCACGTTGGTCAGGCTGGTCTCGAACTCCTGACCTCGTGATCTGCCCGCCTTAGCGTCCCAAAGTGCTGGGATTACAGGCGTGAGCCACCAAGCCTGGCCCGGCTCATGCTCTTATGTACACAAATCCTAGAGTCCACACTAGCTGACAGACCCTGGAGGGAAGGAGGCTGAACTGAGATTGGAAGGGGGAGTGGGTCATATTGACGCATGACGGACGGGCACCACAATGAAGGACGAGGGATGTGCAAAGGCTCTGAAACAGCCTGGCAGATGAAGGGACCTGCACATATATCTGGGGTCTTCCAAGGGGACGTGGAGGTGTTGGGGCATGACCAGCTGAGGAGCTTGGACTGAGGGTGCCGAGGAGTCTCAGGGGTGGGCCAGGAAGGGGTGGGGCTAGTACTGAGTGCAAGAAGGTCTTTCTTGGCTTGTGCTGTCAGGGGCACAGCATGGAGGGAAGATAGGAAGCTGGGGAGGGGCATGGAGCAATGATCAAGACAGCAAAGGGGCTGGGTACAGTGGCTCACATCTGTAATCTCAGCACTTTGGGAGGCCGAGGCGGGTGGATCATCTGAGGTCAGGAGTTTGAGATCAGCCTGACCAACATGGTGAAACCCTGTCTCTATTAAAGGTACAAAAATTAGCCAGGCATGGTGGCACGTGCCTGTAATCCCAGCTACTTGGAAGGCTGAGGCAGGAGAATCACTTGAACCCAGGAGGCGGAGGTTGCAGTGAGCCAAGATCCTGCCACTGCACTCCAGCCTAGATGACAAGAGTGAAATTTCATCTTCAAAAAAAAAAAAAAAAAAAAAAGACAGCAAAGGACCTGGTCATGCCGATGGAGGGGAGGGGACTAAGCAAGGAGGGCATGATGGGAGACATTGTTCAGGAAGTGAAGTTACAGCACCCACTGGCTTATGAGTGTGGTGGGTGAAAAGGGTGACATTTGCAGGAAGTGCTGCATCCCAAATGGGGTAAATGGGGGAAGAGACGCCATGCATAAGACGAGGATCAAGGGGCAGAAAGTAGGGGAGGCATCGAGACAGAGCTCAAAGCCTCAGTTTTTTTGAGGACTTAGGTTTGGGGACCCGGGTCTCAAGGATATCAGATATCTGAGTCCTTAGACTCCTTGTGCCCCGGCATTTGAGTCTCCGGGGACTTCAAGGCCCTTGGGCCTTGTGGGGAGGGTGGAGGCCTCCAGGTCCCTGTGTCTCTAGGGTGCAGACGGTAGTCTCCAGGTCTACTGGTTCTCTCAGGTGCTTTGGTGCCAGGGGTCTGCGTATTTAACGCCCTTAGTCTCAAGGGCCTGAGTCTCTGAGCGTCTGGGCTCCTGGGTTAGGTGAGAAAGATCTTTGGATCCTTCTGTTTAGATGTTTAGAGTCTGGGTCTCCAGCACACGCATCACCACCGCCCACGCGTGCGCGCGGAGTTCCGCTCCAATCCTCGAAGTCTGCTCTGCGGATGCGCCATCTGCGCCTTTCACACTAGCGACCAACCCCTGCAGTTTCACCTTCAATTCCCACCCGCAACCCCGCCTCAAAGGGCAGAAATCACAGGCCCTATAATCCCCTTAAAATCCTATAATAATCCCACAAAACCAGTTAATTAGAATACAACTACTTCGCCCATCCAGCAACCTGCTGGTGACAGCGCGCTGCCATGACAACAGTACACGCGGCTCCGCAGCTCCCTGCGCCCGCGCGCAGGAGGAGAAAGTAAACAGAGGGTAGTGTACTTTGGGAGCAGCTGAAAGAGCAATGCAAGTGTTTCTGGGAGTTGTAGGCCAAGCGGGATCCCGGAGCCGCAGGCGCATCCAGCGGCCCTGTCGCATGGGCTTCTGGGAGTTCCAGGCAAGAAAGCCCCAAGACCTCATGGGAGTGGTAGTCTCTGAGTCACTTCCGTGCCAGGCTTCCGCGTGTTGGGCAGTGTGGGCGTCCCAGCACTGAGTTCTGCCCGGGTGAGTACTTCCTCCTGCGGTGGGTCAGCATGTGGACCCCGGCTCTTTGTTGCGGTGCTGTGGGAGGGTTGGGGGTCTCTCCGAGCGTAAGACGCCTCTGATTTCCCAGGGCCTGTGTCCCTGAGGCCTTGTAGCCAGGATTCCCACTTTGGACGCTGCGGTCCGGCCTGTCTCTTACCGGGCCACCCCCTTCCCCAAGACAGGATAAGACCATCTGCTTGCCCCCGCCCCTATGTCCCTATATGCCTGTCCCCGCCCCCATGCCACACATTATCTGTCCTTTTGATAAGGCTGCAATCCAGAGGCATCCCTAGGGTCCGCGGCCGCTCTTCTGGGAGCATTTATTATTCCTTGATCCTACAGATATTTACTGAGCACCGACCCTGCGCAAGGCAGCGGGGGAGAGGGCACCAGACCAACCCTGTCCCTGCCTTGAAGAAGCAGAGAGGCAGACCTGTCACTAGTGAAGCTAGTCAGGATCAGGGCCCGTATGGAGCTGCATACGTGCAGTTCTGGGGGCCCTGGTGGAGGCGCTCGACTCAGTGACTGGGGTCCATAAAGTCTTTGAGGGAAGACGCTTAACATGCATGTCAAACCTGACGTGTCCAAATGGAATTACTGGTCTTCTCCCCTCACAAAATGGCCCCACCATCCCTCCAGTGCTCAGACCAGAACCTCAAAGTTACCTTTCATCACTTTCTCTCGTCATTGCTCCAGTCCCCAATCAGTCTTATACATGTCCTATGGGCTCCACCTTCAAAGTAGATCTGAAATTTCATTTCTTCCCACCTCTACTGCCACCACTCCTGTCTAGTGTGCTGACCTCCAGCCTTCTGTCCTTCTCCCTTACAACAGTCCTCACCACACAGCAGCCAAACGAATCCCACCTTTTTTTTTTAAATTTGAGACAAGGTCTCACTCTATCACCCAAGCTGGAGTGCAGTGGTGCACTCATGGCTCACTGCAGCCTTGACCTCCTGGGCTCAAGTGATCCTCCTACTTTGGCCTCCTGAGTAGCTGGGACTACAGGCCTGCACCACCAGGAGCAGCTAATTTGTTTATTGTTTTTAGAGATGGGGTCTCGCTATGTTGCC